AGCCGTCGCTGGTTCCCGGCTGACCACCGCGTTAAAACCGTTTATCGGATCCGCCGTATACTCGACGATGCGTCGAGTACCGTCTGCCTCGATCAAACTGTAGCTACCCTGCACCAGGTCGCCGTTTCTGGTTTCGTATTGGGCCTTGGAATCCCCGGTCACCGCATCTTGAACGTCGTACGCGAAACTATATTGAGGCGCTGCGTCTAGTTCCTCGAGCTTCGCTGCCACTACGGGCGCCGCTGGGACCGCTGGGATCACCGCTCCTTTGGAGAGAACCGCCACGCTTAAGAGTACGATGAGCTAGAATTTTGGAAAGAAACGTTAGTATCACGTTAGATATTCTAATTATCGTATTAATATTAGATATATCGTATTTTTTTCGATGATATAAAAAACGCTAATAACGGTGTGCGAGCTGTAATCAACATATCGATTAAATTCCTCTGATCGAAGAGCAATGATTCGGAACATAAGCAGTTTGCCACTGTAGAACCGTAAGACCCACACCATTATCAATAATACGTCATTCGACCCATGCTGAACGTGCACTTCGTTATCTCGTTGAGGAAACGTCAGACTATCTATCCCAGAAGGGCATGGCTGACACTGGAAACTTGGACGATCAATAAAGTGGAAGTAAAAGAAGCAGAGCAACGTATTCTAAACCTAGGGATGTAAACGTTCGATAGAGAAGGAGGTATAATAAATCTATTTAGAGACCGACATTAGATGTATAATAATGTAAATGTATAATAAGAGAAGAGGAACGATAGCATCTATCATGGACCAGTTAAAAATTGGTAAGCGTTACTCTACGTGACTCTAAGCGATATTATTTGATGGATAAGACTAGTCAGGACTAATCGTCGCGATTAGTGTACCTCCTTACCTTTCCAGCCATGTTTGTTTGCAAGAGGATCGCCAGGAGACTGATGCCTCAGGGTAAGATTCGTCGTACTTTTATACGCGTGATGACTGTCAGTGTTTTCGTGTCATCCGCCAACAATAACCCGAGCTATTCCTTGCACCCAAACACGAATCGTGCACACCCGTCTTACACACGCATACACACCGCCCCCACTTGAATCTCTCCTTCTTTTATTCGGGCTACCTATTACTCTGTTTCTTTTACCATCCGATGACCTCCTCATAAATGTTGCGATGTCCATACGTACAACTACGAGTCGATGAGTATGCGCGCTTATGTTTCTTCATATCGTCGCGGCGTATACACGCGACCTGTATGCCAATATGTCGAAGATACAGAGCCACTTCGAGGTCGTGCGACGAAACCGCGAACGTAAACCGTGAACTCCGCTGTAACCCTCTTGACGAAAGGTGTACGCACTTCCAAAAGTTTACGATATTGCGCGATCCTTATCGATTAGCATTTACGTCGCGCCTGCGACACCTTTAGCCAAGCCTGCACGCGAGAGAAAAAAGGGTTTCTTAACGCTAGACGAGTGAAGTATGAGACTTGTATCGGTGAAATTGAAACGAACGTGGAAAATGTGTTGATTGAAAGGGAAAGGGAAACCTTTAACCGTATATTTTACAAAGATCATCGAAATTCCTGAAAATATACTGTTCGAAATTTAGAAGATTTCTATGAAGAACGACGAGTTGGTCATTTTTACCGTGTTCTGATTCCAACGATAATACTTGCGTCGAAAGAATGCTATCTGTCCGTTCTGATTCGATCTTTGGTAGAATTTTAAATTAAAAAGCAATTCTTAACGTATGCAATGGCAAACAGTACCGGCTATCATCGTATTTGTCGTAGCATCTACGTACCGACTAACTGGACCCAAGTATAGTATATTAAATCTCGAATCATTTGGCAGCACTTTGTGACGTGATTACAAAAATTTGATACCGTGAGAACGAAATGAAGATGACCTAGTAAAAAAGGAAACATTTCATTGGGAAATAATTGTTGCAGCCGGTGTATATTGTTTGCGCTAAATAGGTAGTAAGTGAAGAATTTAGGTTAAAAATGACCCTTGTTTCTGTTTATCTTCGATTAATTCAAATCAAGTATCCGATTGATTTCTTTTCTATAGTAAAATGAATCGATAACGCTATGATAACAGCTAGCACCAATACATTAATACATTAATGTGGTCGGAACATGTGTCAATCGAATTCGTTTTAAATTTGACACACGATCGCCGAATTTTAAGTGCAAACGAAGTGTGAGCGGCCATATAATTTGTATGCTGATACATCGAAGAAAGTCATTCGAGGTTATTCGACGAAATTACGAAAGGTAATGGATTCTATCAGTATACGCTTATTGTGTCTTTTCTTTCCTTGCTCAATGTCCATATTCTTACAGGATCGGACACCGGAGAAACCTTTCGTTCGAATCGAAGAATAGAAGGAACAGATGATTCATATATGCCGACATACACGAGATGCTTTCGGTAATTATTCTTTAATTCTGATACGTATATAGTATAATTATCGTAAAATATAAAGATAGAACGTTTATCATGTTCAGGGAAATTTTGCCTATGCCTCCTTAAATCTGTGTAAAAAGAGGTTATCTGTGCGAAGAGACAATGGATAATCGAACTTTCTTTCGTAACAAAACATTGTGAAAGAATTACAACAGTTGCTTGTAGTCGATTCGTTCTTTATTGTTAGATCCCTTATTTATTATGTACCACACGTATAAATCGCAATAATTTATATTCATTTTCGATATATATATATCGCCCATTTGTAATATGATATCTTTTATCTATAACATATATTTTACAGGAAAATTAAAGAATCATTCGTTTCTGGTTGAAAGAATAACTTTATTCTGCTGTAATACGATCTTTAAAGTGCTACAGTATAGAAAAGAAAGATCGCAAAATAATCTGCGTGGACTTGCTTCAAAGCGTGATACTTCTACTTTCTGATCATCAAATTTTATTTCCTCGTGGATGCCTCTATATTCGCAAAAAGAGGTAAAAGTGAGAATGATTTTTGCCGCAAAAATGTATGTTTTGAACTATTTCACTTTTCATTCAAAGTGCCATAAAACGGTTTTTGGTTTTGGTACGAATCGCGAAAAAATTTCTTAAATTTCACAGGCTTGTTCGAATTTGTAGAATTTTCGGAATAAAAAATAATTTTCACTTTCCCGCCCCGCTTCTAAGCATAAAAGCGTCTTCGAGAAAAATTAATTTAGAGTTGAGAAAGTAGAGACTTTGCCAACTGAAATGAGCCCACGCTAATAGTTGTACAATCCGTCATCAGGAAATTACAGTACTTCAAAAATTGATAACATTTTAATTCAGAATTGATGATCGTTTAACTTTCCCGCAAAGATTTAAGTAATAAACAACAAATAAAAGAAATAGGTAAAAGACCCATTTTATAATTTCAGAAAACGAGGATTTTCTAATTTACAATATTTTACACAAAAATATTTATTTAAATAGTCGTATGGAAATATAATTTATTGATTGATATCGATGCAATCGTACGATCTAGAAAAAGAAAACACAAATTTTAACTTTTATTTAAAATAAAATGCATTTAATTGTAAAACGTAGAAACATAATTATGAGGATGGGAATAGCAATGATTACAATATATTTTAAAAAAGTTTTTAATATAAACATTTCATTATAAAATAATTGCAGTATGTACAGTGTAATATGACTAGTTACATAGTAAGCGGTACAAAACGGCAAATATAAATTTCTTTTGTATTACGAGCGAGCACTAAGCAATGCATGACTTAAATGACATAAAATTCATTTCATTTCGCAACGAGTAAATCTTTTTCATATTGATACCAATTTAATGTTGTGTTTTGCTTATTAAAACGAAATGAGAAAATAAATTGAAGCTAAAATTCTTGCTCATGAAGTTAATAAATTCCATGTACCATTAGGTCAACCCTACCCTTCTTTCTCTACCAAGATAAGTATAAATTATAAAGTATTAAAATTGTCTAAGGATGAAAAGCCACTGGAGCGACCTTCAGGGCAGGTTTAATGACAGCCACAGGTTCTCTGTGGACAACCGCGTTGAATCCATTCACAGGATCCGCCGTGTACTCGACGATCCTCCTGGTGCCATCAGCTTCGATGAAACTGTAGCTACCACTGACTATGTCACCATTTCTAGTTTCTTGCTGAGTTTTCGAATCTCCTGTTAAACTGTCTTGAACGTCATAAGCGTAAGTGTATTGTGGATGAGGATCGTAATTAAATGCTGGATTCACTGGTGCAAGTTTAGCTAATGGTACTGCTGGTAAAGGAACTGCAGCTCCCTTGCATGTAGTAAATATAGCGACCGCCAGCACGATAACCACTTGCTGTAACGTAATAGAGAAATATTTAATTTCTTCTACCAGAAATTAAATAATATGAACGAAATATAAAATTTAGTTACGGTAAATTATAATATAAATTAGAAATGATGTAGTTAAAATACAAAATAAATAATAATATTTTGCGATCTGATTAACGATATCTTTTTGTGTAAACTATTTTAATTATACTGTCTTGTAAACTGAATGTGTAATTTTCAAAAGAGTTTTTATTATATTTATATTATATTTAAAACTATATATCACAAAACATGACATGAAAATTTCATTTAAATTTAAATATAAAAACCCTATTCGTTCTAGTTTTAATTCTTTCTCTACTAATATGTACACAACTGAATTTTTCATATACATACCCTCCATTTTTTAATATGTGAATAAATTATACAAATTATATACATTATATTTTTACTACTTTATATATCTACAGATGATTAATAACTTAACAACCCAATTAGTAATCAAGAATGAATTAACAAAACAATTAATCAGATCGTTAATTTTTAAGTTACCCTCTTCTCACCTTGAAAGCCATGTCGATTAGTGTTTTGGATAATCCTACGATTGAACGAAAGTCAAGAAGGAAACTGACTGTTCGATTTCTAGTGACAAACGTATTTATAGGTGTGCGGAGTTGTCATTTGTGAATGTACGTGAACCGATGCTCATCGCAGCCCTCGATGCATCGCAAATAGCTTCGAAGGCGTGTACGTGACGCGCTTCAGACAGAGTAGCAAAAGTTTCGCTCTCATTTTTAGTTCTCTAGTAGCTGCACATTAAACCCTTCGAAATTTTAGCGATAATTTTTATCATTCTTCTATCAATTCAAATTATATTAAAAACTGCTACCTTTGAGAATAAATGTGGAAATAATCTTCAAATTACATTAAAATTGTATAAAAAGAAAATAACCCTGTTCGACGTTCGTATAGCAAAATATAATAGCTTACTATCTTTGAAATTAATTAACAACAGCGTGGAGTATCTCTCATTAAAGAAGATGTAGTAGAAAAAGATGAATGGGTTATTACACAATGCATAATGTAAAAATTTAGAGGGAAATAGGAACAATTTGGACAATAATTCTTCCAGGTTAAAACTCTTGTGCTTTCACCATTGCGTAATTCCGTATGGTTTTAGTCGCAGTAAGTGTAACGTTTCCGTCATGCGAGCACATGGCGCGAAGAATACTAAACAGTTGGAATGATCCGTTTTGGAATGCTCACATTTCGTGTCCCTCGTCCCTGGATCTCGCATTGGTTATCCGACTAAATACTGGAAGCATTAAAGTACACATCTGATTCTCTGAAATTATAACTTTTCACACTTTGATCATAATTAGAAGCTAAAGGGAAACCAAAGGATATCATAAAATAATTCATTGAAAGAATTAATTAATCCTTGAAATATAGGCGCCTGGAACCAATGACTAGATTAAGCGTAATCCATGGTAAGTTTATACAAATTTCATCGATAATAATAATTTCAAATTGTATACAAATGCCATTTTAAACTGCATAATGAATTGAAATTGAAAATAGGTGTTTATATTGCGACATGTAATTTATTTACATATAAAATTTATTATGTAGAAACTTTTACAGAATAAAACACACAGTCATTAAATAACAAATTCCGATAATACTCTACTTTATTCGTGTGTGTGATTACAATTTTTACAATTCAAATAAGATTGAAGGAAGTATAAAATGTCGCTGATACAAAATGTTCAATATAATGTACTAATAAGTATAAATATTTTAAATATCACACAAATATTCAAACCACTTTAACAACCTTATTTTTGTACAATAACATGAGGATATATTTATTACTTAATAAACGTCATTAATTAATAGTTTAATCAGGATGATTACTAAATTTAATTTTCATGCTGAAAATTCATCTTATAATATAATTTCCATATGTTTTTACAAGATATTTTTATAAGAAATTTATATATTATGATTTATTAACAACTAATAACATAAATCTAACCCCAATCATTCACTTCCAAAAAAATAGTACTTATATACTATAAAGATTTAATATAATATAGTATCATGGCCATGTAATCTTTTGTCTTTTCTTTGATGGAGCTTCCTAAAATATATGAAAATAATTAAAATATTTGTTCTAGGCATTCGTTAGTAAATAATCATTATTTACGTTATTCATATTGTAATAAATAATCTTACAATTTAATTAGCATTAATGTTATATCAGTAATGATACGTGCATCTATATAAAAACAATCTAACAAACCCAAATAAATACATAAATGAAAATTAACTACAAGTGATGGAATAATTAATAAACATACATACATCATGTTTTCCATCATTATTACGTTTCTCAATACCATTGCATTTTTTAAAGGTATTTGAATTATATAAACGTATTTTATTAGATGTTTGTTTAAGTTCACTTGCAGAAGATTTTGGTCTTATACAAAAAATCTCTTTTGCCGTTTCATTTATATCTGTTTTTCTAGTACTTGTACCATTCCTATAAAAAATTAATGTAATTACTTTATTAAAGGAGATATAATTTTATATTGAGCAAAATGTTTTTACTTACAATGAAACAGGATTTCTCTGTGATTCATTAACAGAGTGCATTGCCTCATTATGTTGTCTTACATCTGAATTTTGATTACTCTCAGATTGTCTTTGAGGTAACGGCAAAGCCACCCGTTTATATAATTCTATTAATTCAAATCTGGATAAATTTTTATAGTCACTGAAGTCAATACATCTCTATAAACAAAGCAGGACGGAAAGATGTTTAAATAATTGTAATATATATAAATATTGATATTAATAGCTATTTAAAAAATACTATAACAATTCTTTATCTCAATGAAAACCTACAACATTTAATTTTATATTTATAAAATTACAATATCTCTGGCAATATAAAACAAGAAAATTTCATATCTTGATAGTAGATAAGATACTAGTTCTAAAAAAATTCTTTTTATTACAAAATGTAAAAAAAGAACAATTATATTTTAAATTACGGTACAGGATATCTATAAGAAAGATTTTCACACATTATCAGATATATCTGCAATTAAATAATTATTAGTTTAATACACAAAGATATATAAATTCTTCATGATTTAATGAAGAAAAATTGTTGGTAAACATAACCTGGTTTGCTTACATTTTCTAAAATTTCCTTAAGATCTGATTCTGACAATAATTCAGGATGAGTTAATTCATACATTCCTAACGTCGACATTTTATTAAATATTTCATGCACTAATAAAAACTACTTTATAAAATATCAAGAGACCATTTGACAACTTCCATACACAATATTATATTCAAACAACGGTTTGAGTTGGTTATCAATGGTTATCATTCGACAAGTATGACAATATCAGATAATATCTGATAATACCGATTATTTCAAAATATTTATAATTATACACACATTTTGCTAGTTTATAAATTTTATAATAAATCTTTAAAAAGAATTTTATATATCACGTGAAATAATAACGCTCATGCTTACTACTATTCTGACGCACTCCATTATACAATGCACTAATTTCTTAGAAATTTATGTCTATACAACGTATATTGAAAAACCGGGAATTTCCTACAACGACATGATAAATTGAAAATACCTTTTCCTCGTATTTAAAATTAATAGTTTTTTTAATAATAAATACGTCTTTTTCTAGTTAAATGACGTTAATTTACCATTATAACTGTTTAACTAATTTTTAAATCATAATTTCGTTAACTAATTTGTACGTATCAACTTCTAAATTGAAAATTTTAATGCAAAATTTTTCATAATATTTAAAATGAAATATTTCTTGTAAATGACAAGATCATAAAATTAAAAGGCATAATGTAAAGGGATAAAAAGACTTGCTTGATGTCATGTTTTTTTCTAAAACTAACTTTCTTTATTCCTTTCATCATTAAATTTTTCATTATTGTATTCAATGTGATTTAAATTTTTCATTTCATTCATAATTCTTTATAATACCTAACTATGTACTAAGAAAATCTACACATGATCATAACAGTTCGAAATAATAAACAACAAAAATGAGTAACGAATAATTTACATTCATTAAAACAAACCATTTACACTTCTCATATAAACATGAATAGCATTAGAGTAAATAAAATCTTATGATTCTCATTGTTCTTTCAGTTTAACGTTTCGTTCAAAACAATTCGATTTTCCAGATGAATAAACAAATTGATATTTTGTCACCTAATAAAATCATTTTTGAAGATGTATTTTATACATATGATAGAACAATTATTATCCAACTTTTAAACTAGTTATAATCTTTGAAATAGAATATGCTCAGAACTATAATTTTACATATAAAAAATCCTCAAGTATATATTACAACCTTAATAGGGCATGAATTCAATTAGCAACATTTTAAATTTTATAATGCATGTTACTAAATCCGACAAAATTGTCCTTAAAGATTTCTTTTGTTACTTGTTTGATTTTTTTCCTAAAACTGTATCCAATCGTCAAAACCTGAGATTTTTACTTTAAATTTCGGTACATAACACTTTCACTATTATTATCCAAAATGATTTTAATTAATTACGTTAATGTTCTCTTCGTTTCTCTGTGCGTATTGATCTTTTTTTATTTGTTTCATTCTAATGACCGTTCCTAATCAAAATTACCATTTATAAATTATGACTAATGTTGATTTTGTTCTTTTAAACAAAGGAACGGTAATCATGATTATAATATTATTGTAACGATTTTTCGATAATTTTACGATATTAAACATTAAAAGTTATATGTATTTATTTCTCTATCGACAATGTATATCAATATAAATATGATTTTATTAATGTAGCTCACATTGCAATTGTATTATCATTCAGAGCTTTCTGGCGTAACTTCCTGCTTCTCTAATCTGAACGCCATTATCTGATGGTATTATGATATGATTCGCGCAATAACCCTTCAAAACTATTTACTAATAGTTTTGATGGCAGAAGTGATCAATTGCTGGCAAAAATTGTAAAAATAACGATAATATTCATTAAAACGAAATTCCAATAATTGTAATAAAGTTAAATGAATTGCAAAAGTAATAGAAAATATTCAACAATACTACCACTATTATATTCAAAAATAAATGCAAACCAACTGTTTTATAAAGGAAAGGAACTTATTAAAATTATGAATATGAATAGAATTATGTGAAACAAAATATTCTAAACAGGGATAAAAAAAAATATATATGTATATGTATGTATATAATTTTTAAGTACCAGGCATAAATTATGAATATTACCCTAATTAATCTTTATTTTATCATAAAACAATCTATAAATGAATTAAAAATAAATTAGTTTATCTATATATCATGATCAATTGCATAGTAATTTTATCGATACCTCATGCACAAATTAAATGGTTAACAGTTAAATAAAAAAAATGAAAGTTATATGTTGGAAATTAATTATGTTCAAAATTATATTGAAATTGTTATTTTAACAATGTATTAATAGAACTTACTCCAATCATTTTATTGTAACACAGTGTTGGCTGTATCAATATTGTTATATTTGATAATGATTAATAAATCATAATCAAAGTTATAAAATTTAATTCATATACCTTTAATTTAAGTAGGTATTTTCTAATGAAAATGATACAAATAATCCAATTTAACATGTGCTTAATAAATTATACTTTTTCTATTCATTCTCATTTCAAGATAGTCCCACTGTAAGAGATATGTAAAAAATTGTAACTACTAGTTACAAAAAATTTCGATTTCTGCCAGCAATTTGCTTAAAAAATATTGAATGAATATGTAAATTAGTATACAATAGTAATGTTTATATATTTTTTTAAATGAATAAATGAAATGCAAGTAAAAAGGCACTATATTTGGGTATGGGAAACAATCAGGTATTTAGGCCTCCCTAATTTTTTTCTTGACCAGTTCCAATAAATCACAGATCTTTCACTAAAGAAGTTACGCCGTTGCGATTGAACAACCTTCATTCTATTAAACATGTAAAGTCTTACTTGTTTGGTACTAAAATATGCATGTTAAGAAGAAAATCAGTGTGAATTATAAACAGCCATATTTAAATCAGTTTCGGTGTTATTCAATAATATATTGGAAGCATAAAGTAATGTTTAGTCATATATCACTTTATATAAACTAGGATGGAACCATTATTCTATAAACAATGAAATCTTTCTTTCCATTGTTAATCATACTTGACTAGTGGGAAAAATTATTAATTGGCAAGAGAATGTTTAATTGCTCCACGCACACCATGCCATATTTTCCAAAATGACGGATACGCTTCATCATTATCTCATGTTATGTAAAAAGACCGGTGTTGCTTTATATTGACTGTCGAGGATGACATTCATCTAATATTCATTTCATTAAACAGGCGTTTCATGATCAGTCTCTTCAATTCTTCCCAATCTCCATGCATTTGGATCTCCTGCTGCTGCAACGTAATAACATAAACATTTTTTATTACTACAGAATAACAATATGCTAATATGAATTAAAATATGAACTAATATATACATGATATGTCAATATATAAAATCTATTTATACGCAACCACAACAGAATATATCTTTAAGATAAAATTGTATAAAACTAAATTATTGGAACATTAATAAACATGTGAATAAAGAACCCCCCAAAACTATATTTAATCTTGAAAAGAATTAAGTGTTAAATAATTCTAAATACATCATATAACAAAATAAATATATGTAACAAGTTATTATACCAGAGTAAGTTTTCTTTTCAGGTTCTATAATTAGTACTTCAATTTGTATCGTATTTGTAACAGTACTATGTTTTTTACTTAACTACAAATCTTTAAATTAATATACTAGGGTATAATTGTCAGATATATGGTATTAAAATCTTTCCATTTTATAGAATCTGAGCAATAGTATTGTGACAGAACCAACATTGTCAATATAATTGAAATATGAAAAAACATACATAGACACAAAAACAACTCACCTGAATACAATAACCAGAAGAAAATAAATGAAGTTACCCAGTGATATTTGTATAACTGTATGGATATCCATTGCAGAAACATAACATATATCACGTACAAATTTGTGCTAAGTATCTGCACAGTTTGTGTCACAGGAATATTATAGGGAAGACTGAACATTGCTGTGTTGTACAGGATGTAAAGGAGGTGTACGTAGGTGATTAATATGATGCAAAGTGTTGTTCAGCACTTCCTGAGTCGTGTACAGCAGCGGCATTCTCTCTTCTATCCAAAGCAAAATCAAAATTGATGCAAAATTATAAAAAGTGTATGTTGCATATTCAAACAAATTATAAATCTAGATTGTTAGTTTTACTTCAGCAAATACATGCACCAATTATCATGCAAAAGATTTCTATATATTCAACATATACATTTCAATATTTATATATTTACTTAAAGAATAATTGCTCGACATAAGAAAAAAATATATAATTGGCAGAATATAAACATAAACTACTAATACAGGATAGTAACGTTTATAAATTGCAATGACAAAAGCTTTAAAATTATTCTATAATGAAAAAAATTTACATTACAGAATTTTTTAGATCAAATTGTGTTAGTAATATATAAACTTTGTGATAAAGATTTGTATTTCTAAAAGTACATTACGCATGATACATGCTCATGCCTAAATATAAAAAATATAAATATATGTGATACTGTACATGTAAACTGCCGTAATACATTTTCAAAATATTGTTTCAAATCAATTTAGACAGTTTTAATGACTATAATTTATATAATGGGTTTTTTATATATTTAGATTTTCTCTAAATTATAATATCTATAATATCTTTATTTGAAACAACTTTTTGTAATGGAGAAAGACTTTTCAAATTGCATAACACATTTAAATTAGAACTACCATCTACTTTTAAAATGATATCATTAAGGATGATTAAATGTATTTATATTATTATATTATACTATATTCACGTTTTATTTAATTTTTCAAAGTGCGCTTTTTAAAGAAGATAGGAATGTTGGAATAATATAGAAATATTACATCCTTAACAATATGTTTAAGTATAAACATAAAGGCATTATGTGTATATGTTATATCTTATACATATATGTATATGTGTATAGTGCATGTGCATGCTATTTTTTATACATTTAATATTACATTTATTATTATGTTTGTCATAAGTTTCAAGATCCGAAAATCAGTCAGCAAAAATTATTTATATATGAGGTAATGGGATAATTTAAGTTTCTTTAATATATAGGTTGTAGTTTTGATAGATCATCGTACACACATTGCAATGTTATTCAGTTTAGTTTAAATAATTAAGTATTAAATTATCCAATTATAGAACATATGACATTAGAAATATATGCTACTATAAAAACGAATTGTACTTTGTTTGATATTTGTTCATATATTCGGAAAATTATTAATAATAGATTTATAATATTCGTCTATAACTTTTGTAGATTTTATTAACATAACAAAACAACTATTGCTATAATAGTTACAAGTGTTACTATTGTTCATAAATGCAATATTAAAAAGTACTTACCTTGAAGTTGACGGCTGATGAGAGCAGTAATACCTTGACTATCACCAGTCTTTTTCACAACGAAGAGTTTGGTGTCAGGATCGTTTTCTAAGGCTCCAATACCACTTAAACCAATTACTTGTCCATTTTGCTGTTGATGACTGCTAGCGGCCATCGTTTCGCTAACCTAAGATTATATTACGTACTAATATATAATACATCAATGAATTCATACGTATTATAAATTTTTAAGAAAAACACATACATACCTGCATCAATTTTTTTACTACATCCCTTCCCAAAATGTGATCAAACACTGCCTGCAGAAATTGATCACTAATTATGCTTAATTTTAACTTGTCTCTATGCCATAGTAATATCCTCGATTCTTCCATAGCTGTTATTGATACCTGTTATTAATCACAAATGTATATATTATATAAATACAAACACACACATGTAAACAAATATGTATTTTTTATGAATTTATTTCATTTAATGTGTGTGTAAACTTATTTTGCTATGAAGAAATAGATTTCTACTAATGACTTAAAAAGATGTATAAACCTGAAAGTATTCGTCTGTAGAAACACCAAACCATTCTGGAGAATCCAGGAACTGATGTGGGAAGACAATGTGCAATGCTCTTCCATTTTGCGAAACTACTAACCTGAAGAAATATACACAAAAAAATTTAAATACCACTCTTTGCTTTTAAATTTGATAAAATGTGACTTATTAAGATTTATATTACAATTTACGTTATTTATAATATACACTTACTTCCCAGAAAGTACCAGAGATAAAGAATCAACTTTGGTTACTTTTTCTTGGGCATAAACTTCTTGATATTTCAACTGTCGAATAACCTTCATACAATTTAACACTTTTCTGAACTGATGACGTGATACTCTTAATGGCTGGAACACTGCAATATATACCTGTATGAAAAAGAATGAAATAAAATATTAAATTTATGTAATGTTATTATTTATGTAATATTATTAAGCGTAAAAATATACTGTAATAAAAGAAAAACATCTATTTCAATAACCTTTTTCTAAATTACCATTTCACCTTTACATTAGAACAACATATAATTGAATTATTCTATATTACATATATGTTTGTTGAAACTAACATTTTCTCAATTTAAAAAAATATAATGTTAGATTACTAATATCCTAAAAGCAGTGATGTTATAATGAAAATCTATTTCTGAAACTGGATATATAAAGGTGCAAAAAGAAAAGATAGTATATACCTAAAGAATTTGAATCTAATGCAAACACTATAGCCAAACATACAAGCAATTTACTGTAATTAAAATTCTAATATATCTATCTATAACAGCTAAAACAAGAATATTACATCATCTAGAAAAAGTAATATGCTATAAATAAAATTTGGAAAAACAATAAAATATAGTGTATATCTTTGTATTCTACATACATGAAATATCAATTTTTAAAAATGGACAGATATACTTCAATACTTACAACAATATGTTTCTATTGTATAATACTAATTATATTAATTCATACATTATATATTTAATATTTAATCATTTGAAATAATTGTGTAACATGTCCATCTATTCATAGCAATTAATAATAAAGTCACTTTCACATTCAATAACAAAATATAATAAATTTAATATTTATTTAAATGTTCCTTACATAGCATGTATTTTACCTATGTATTTATCTAATTCCAAATATTAAATTTTAAACGCGCTAATATCTTAAATAATTTTAAGTATTTTAAATTGTTTGGTAGATCGGTAAACACTACTCTGTGATATAAAGTCAAACAATCATTCCTTCTGATGCTTCTCATAGCTTACCTCTTCAACTTCCCTTGAAAACTTGATAGGCCTGAGCTTGTAAAGAAGCGTGCATACATGGACGAAGTTGATGGCAACAAATAGAGCATTCCAGAGAGCAGCATCCAGCCAACAAGCTATTGTCCAGCCCCACAAAGCAAGAAAGGCACAGCCCACGAGCAGAGTGCACCTTAAATAAAGTACGCCATGTATGCCACTTGGTGCAAGATGTGACAATAGAAAGAAGGCATTTGCTAGTTGAAAGTAGATGTGGTTCACAGAAATTCCTTGATACGGTTGGCAGGTAAGAACTCCGTACAGAAAGGTTGGAGGCACTATCGGCGAATGAGGAGAACCAGATCCTTGACTGACCACTGATAGACCAGTAGCTGTAAGATGTTTCTTTTTTAAATATTTAATAGAACTAATTATATTTAAAACATTAAGTAATAATGTAGTAATAAAATTTATTACTTAATGATTAATGGTAAATTGTTAAACATTGTCTCAAAAAAGTATTTAGAAAAGTTAGCTCAAAAATTTGTTAACTGGTAAGAATAGTGATATTATCATATATATAAAATATATTACATATATCCACCATATTATATGTACATGCATACATACTAGCTCTATTATCAGTGGTCACATTCCTACATTCGTCATCTTCACGGTGTGTTGAAACTGGTAGTGATACTTCCGATGTAACAGTATTATGGGGGACATTAAACGCAGCTGCATTTGTTAAACTGCCATCGGTACCAAAAGATGTCCAATACAGAAATATAAAAAATAAGATAGAAGCACGCCAGCCTTCTCGGCTTCCTACAGGATCAAAACAGATCCACATCCCCGCATCACCACCAAGCTAAATCAATTTCGTCTTACTCTACAACAATAAAATAAATAATACTTAAATATAAAAAACTGAAATTAAGTTTACACAAAATATGAGCACAATTTAAATTGGTAATTGTTATGTTTCATACTTATTCATAGGAGATGTTAAATTGAATATTATATGCCACTTGTAAATATCCTGTCATTTTTCACATTTCTATTCTCAGCTAAAGTTAAAACTTGAAGACAAATACCATCTTGTGGACATCAAATTAAATAAAGGTATTTGCATTACCAATAGCTGCAGGAAGACTATAGAAACATCTGTAATATAAATATGCATTCATAATAAAGCGCAAAATGTAATATATGAACCTTCCCATAAATTTATTATGTTTTTCTACTTATTAGAAATGTGTGATTATATGTATGATAACATATCAAACTGTAGTTAAAAGAAATATTAAGAGTTTTGTAATAAACTTAATAATTATTTAACATCCTTACTTGATGACACAATAAAATTACCAATTAAAAATGTCAAACTCCAATTAAATGAAAATATTAAAAATTTTGTTACTCTATATAATGGTGAATTTGAAAGATTTTACAAAATTCAATTATTAATATTATTTTGTGAATTTATAAAAGAAGATAATGCTTTCAAATAAATATATTTCATGCTGATTTTGATATGCAAGTGATTGTGGATATTGACGCATGTTATAAAGTATCGTATTCAAATCAATAAATAACTTACTCATGGAAAATTTGAAAGGATGTGAACGTACGCAAGGCATACAGATGAAAAAGTAAACTATAACGTTAAGAGTAATTTGATAGTTAGAATAAACGGAACTCGTATACGAAACAAACTTGCTTATCTAATGAACGTCAAACTAGCATAAAGACGTTGCTTTAGCAAGGAGGAGTAAAGACGACGGTAGAGAATTGGGAAACAGAAGGGGGATAAAATAGGCCACGCGGCCCGTAATTTAAGGTTTGTTCAAAAATTTACTAGCAAACACAACCATCCTTTCAAATAAATAATTACCATCGTACGAAAATTAATTACAATTCAAAATACTAGAGATAAAATACAATAAATTTTTATATTCTATATTTGAAACTTACAATTTTTACAAATATTTATTTTCTTCTAATTATTTGCGTTATTTTTCAGTAATTAAAAGTTTTGAAACCTAAAGTTCTAATTGTAACTTTGAATTAAATGTTTATTATTTTATAAATTGTATATCGTCTACAATTAATAATTTATTATTTTAAGGAGTGTTGAAATATTCGATAAAAATTTGAATTCAATTTAAATACATTATATTAGAAAATAATATTTGAAGTATTTCCTTTTATGATCTTATTGAAGTAAAACATGTTATCTTAAAATATAGTATTTCTTTTTATATAGAGCGTGCTCTTGGAAACAATTTTAAATTACACATCAAACACAATATCATTAACGAACAAAAATTTAAATCGTTAATATCTGCCTCACCTGCTATATATAGATCTGTATATGTGCTTTTTGAAATTCTTGTTGCTTTGTTTATAGGTAAATATAATAATAAAATGGCAACGGAGAAGGATTTGATTAATGGTATTTATTAATTGCAAATTTACAAAATGTTTATATTTCTTAAGTAAAAAGTATTTTATTACACGTAGTTAATTTATAAACACTTCTCAATTAATTTTTATTACATACATATCCAATTACTATTTAAATATGTAATTTATTTTCAATATTGATATATGTTAATATGTAATGTTTATTTCTGCTATAAATGTACATACTATTTATAATATAAAAATAAGTGGTGTTATAATTAATTATTTCGGTTATATCTGTATCTTTATAATTTATGTATTGTTATCAGAGAGTATTTGTTATCAGAGAGTATTTTGTGTTGATAATAACAAATGTTATATTACTAAAGATTGTCCTACTTTCTGGAAAAAGAAAGTATAATTATTGCATATGAAAGAATTTTATTTTTTAAGATTAATTTTATGTAAAACTTAAAATCATTTAAGTTTTGTTTGCTCATTAATAAACTTATTTCTACAGCAGTCAGAGAATCACTTAAAGCTGATGGGGAGCTTGGTCGTATAAAAGCTGAAATGCGTACAGAAGTCATAAAGTTGTTAGATAATTCAAATAAAGGAAATAAAACAAAGCTTCCAAAGCCACCTTTAGACATTGTATTTTTGAATGAACTTATTCGAGAATACTTAGATTGGATGGGATATAAGTACAGCTCTACTGTATTTATTTCAGGTATTTAATAATGCACTTCATATATAATATACTATATTACAGAAATTAATATATTCATAAAGTACTTAATAAATATCTCTGTTTTAGAATGCGACTTGTCAAAGCAACCTCTTGATAGATTTTTGCTTTTGCAAAGTTTGGGGCTGAAAGAAAGTGAGAATAGTACAAAATTACCATTGCTGTGTAGTATTGTAGAAACATTCAAGAATTTAAAAAATACATGAATATATAAAATTATATATAGACGTATTATTAACAAAAGTAACAAAAGTCTAAAACATTCATACTTAATATTGTTAATAAACAAAAAATATATGAATTATCAAACCCCCTATTTTTTAATTAATTTCAGATTTTTGTAATTTATTTAAATTTTCTTTCTTTATATAATAAGATTTTATAGAACATATATAATTTTGTATGGTAAATGATTTCTAATATTTTGTACAACGAGAACAAGGATAAATTAAAAGAATTTCGTCTTTTTATTTCATGACGTCTTTTACATATTGACATTACATTATGAAAGTACAATATAATGCTGCAATATTGGAGATCTTAAATATAATTGCTGTTGTTTTCTAAAAGTATAGTATCAGATTTCTTAAAGATATTATCCACTGAATGCTATAATGTACATTAGTTATTGTAATAAATTTACTTACAGCATTTTAGAGATGGAATTAGAACATGGACAATCATGTAAAGGCCTTAATAATATCTCAAAATTAAATACAAGTTAAATGTCATAGTTTGTTACCCATTCCTTATTTCGTTAAATTTTTCGATCCCAAAAAAGTACTGGCTATTAATAATAAGTAATGAGTCACTAATGTTTGTCCAAATTAACTTTGAACGCTGTTGTAATATTGTAAATATAGAATAAGTCGACTATATCAGTTTGATGCATACAATAGTAAATAATTCTGGTACAAGACCTTACATTAAAAAGCATTCACAAAGAAAAATTACTGTCAGAATTTACTTTTTAAAATATCAGACATCTAATGATGTCATTTGTGCTTTGATTTCTTCTTCTTTTTTGCTTGTTTGTTCCTACTCCTTGATTTTTTTGATTTCTTTTTATGCTTTTCTTCATCTGTACTTGTTTCAGATGAATCTGAATAAGAATCTGAATCAGAACTACTATCTTTTTTCATAGATTTCTTCTTCTTATGTTTTTTATGCTTCTTCTTCTTCTTTTTATGCGATTCATCTGAACTATCTGAATCAGTAGTAGAACTATCTGAGGTACTGGATGAATCTTCGCTACTTGTAGATTTCGATCGCTTTTTAAGTGACTTTATATCCATTTCCTTTTCTATATCTGGCTCATCGAGTTTGAGTTTTTTGGTAGGTAATGAAACCACTTTACCATCTTCACCATCTGATTCTGAGTCTGAAGCACTATAGTCAGGTTCAAAACTAGCTTCATCGAGCATACTACGTTTACGATCGGACACAAGTCTTGGATTCTTCCTTTGCTTCTTTATAGATTCCGTAGCTGGAGGTTCAGGATTTTCATAATTTATTTTAGTTTCATTGCTTTCAGGTTTATCTTTTAAACCAATATTTTCTTTATGCTTCTGTTTCTTCTCTAAGTTTTTTTCTTTATCTTTCTTATGTTTCTTTTCTTTCCGTTTCTTATGTTCTTTGGATTTACTTCTACTTCGATGTTCTTTCTTTCTTTTCTTATCTTCCTTTGTTTTCTTGTCTCTACGCCTATCATCTTCTTCCTCTCTACTCTTCAAAAGACCTATCTTTGGGATATCATTTCTTTTAAACGTGCAAGATGGCGTTCTTCCTCTTCTTTCTTTATCTCTATCTTTTTCTCTATCCTTATCTATCCTTTCCCCTTTAGAATCGTTACGAGTCGATCTGAAATCTCCCCTCGAATCAATTCTTGGATCTCTTTCTGATCTTATATCGTGTCGTTCACTTCTGAAATCGTTTCTTTCTTTTGAACGATCACCTCGATCTTTATTATCTCGTTTTCTGTCATCGAGGAATACCTTACGTTCACTTCCTGGTATAGTTAATGATGAATCAACGCGTCTATCTAATAGTGGAGATATTCGTTTATCTCTTGTACTTCTAGGAGATCTACTTCTGGATTGATTTTCACTTTTCATCTCACGTCTATCTAAAAAGCTTTTTATGGGACTAATTTTCCTTTCTTTATTTTCATCTACTTTTTCACCCAATCTTTCTTTGGCGGAAAGTCTTGTAGGTGAATAAGTTTCTGGAACTGGTTTGAATTTTGTCCGGTCTAATTTAGCTTTCTTCACTGGTTCCGTTATTTCAACGTTTCTTTCGTTTCTTCCTACATTTATAGTAACGTTCACGCTCTTCCTTGCTTCTCTATTAGGTTCAACTTCAAGTACTTTAGGCTCTGGATTCTGATATAGTACTTTTCTACTTTCACTTATCTTTTTAATTTCGATAGGTCTAATGGCATTTATAGCTTTTTGGAAAATCGCATTTTCTGCTCTTTTTAGTACCTCTGATGTAACTACTTTTGCGGACTTAGGTTCATCCAATTGTATTTTTTCCATAGGAGATTCGCATACATCGTCTGTTTTTTCTGTAGTGTCATCTCTCTCCCATTTAGAAAGTTCAGGCATCGGAGCTAAAAATTCATCCTTTTTTGGAGACTTTTCTTCTAACAATGTACTTTTATCTTCTGCTTCATTTTCTGAAAGTAAAGAATACTTCTCTGTTATTACAGTGTTTATTTCTGCATCGTCTAATCCACTATAAAGGCTATCAATAGGTTTAATATCAGATTTTAACTCTGGAATTGGCTTAAAATTAGGATTAGGAGGATTTGTTCCAAATTCTGTATGATCAATTCTTTCTGGACTGGCTTCATGGAATTCGGGGGGTTCTGGATTCATGGCTAAAGATTTATCTTCAAATTCTTCTTTAATTGATTCTTCTATAACATTTTCGGTAGGAATGCAAACTATCCTACTCTCAATATTTTCATCTTCAGTACTAGGTTTTATAACATCCGTTTTTGTGGGTGACATGCTTTCCTGCTTATTTTCCGCAATTAATTCTTCGTGTTCAGTTGGTTTAATGGGTTCATCTTTCACAATCTCTTTTTGCCCTGATTTTTTTTCTTTTTTCTTTTTCTTTTTCCTCTCCTTTTCATCATCTTTCTTCTTCTTTTTTTCTTTAATTTTCTTTTCCTTTTTCTTTTCTTCATTCTTTTCTTCATGATCCTTTTCTTTCTTCTTTATACGTTCAGGAGATATATCTTTCGTATCTATCCTAGATTTCTGTGAATATGGAGTTGGACTTTTTCTGTTCTTTTTTCGTTCCATAGACCGCCTTTCATAACGTTCATGTCGGTCCCTATCCTTTTCAGTTTCATAATCTCGTTCCCGTCTATCTTTTTCACGAGAACGATTTTTGTCATCTTGTTTGTGACGATCTCTTTCATCTCTGTAACTGAAATAATATTGGTATTATTGTCATAGAATAAAATCAAGTCAATTTAATTACGTTATTTGTAAATATAATTGACATTTTTTATTTAGATAAAATAACTTATGTGAACATACCGGTCTTTATCATAGTCTTTCTTATCTATGTGCCTATCGTCTTCTCGTCGATCCCGAGTATGCCTATCATCTCGTTCTTTCTCTTTTTCCCTTCTATCGCGATCATCTTTTTCTCGTACTCTGTCATCGTGATCTCTAGGTAATCCTTGTCTTTCGCGATCTTCGCGATCTCTATTCAAAATTCTTCTATCTCTTTCATCTCTTTCGCGCAAACGATCATCTCGTTCACGTCCCCTAAAAAAAGTGATAGTTATACATAGTTTTAAATACAATTTTTCGGATTATTTATGAACGAACTATATGCTTATATACCTATCTTCTCTCAAAGGTAATCTATCTCGATCTTCAGCATCATGATCTTTAAGAGAATGCTCGCGATCTTCTTGATCTCTTAATAAACGTCGATCACGATCATCACGTAATGATCTTTCAGAGAGTTCTACACCTGGCGGTGATAGGTCATAGTATCCCTCTGTTCCGGGAGGCGCAACATCGTCAAATCTTTTGTGAGGCACATCTCGTAAAGGACTACCAAAACGTTGATTGGATGGTCCAGGATACCTGCTGACAAAAAATTCACAAAAAATGTTCATATTTTTGTTCAATTACCTCAAAAAGTTATTTATAAGTCATACATTTGATTTATAAAAGCTCAGTGCTATGTAAATTCTTTAATTTATAAGTTATTAAAATTTAAAATAGAACTAAAAATTTTTATACATTTATTTATATCCTATAAATCTAATTTCAACTTACAAAATTTATTACAATATTTTTATTTATAAATTTATATATCTTTTTGACAAAAATACATATAAAAGTATGTTAGTGTTGTTTAATTATATGTACGTTCATCAATTCTAGAGAAAAAATTACAATTATGCTTTATCTAAGGGTTACTAATTTTAAAAAAATTAATTTGACCATTTTGTTTTCCTTATTGAGGAATTACTATGAAAAGTTAAAACCTTTATATTAAAGTTGATTATGAAACCTTTATACTAAAGCTGAAAAGATGAATGAATAAAATTACCTATTATCAAGTATATTTACTGTCTATTATGTCATAAAAACGAAAAGTAAATAAATCAACATTTATAACTTCAAATACATTATTATGAGCACAAGAGTAGTATATTAATTGTACTCATTTAAACATTAATATTGCATATTTTACTCACCAACAATGTGCTATTATACCATATAAATACTGTTACATTAGTAAATATGTTGTACAATTTTTAAGTTTTAATCAATATTATTTTGATAACTTTCTTAAGAGTATTCTATGACATTTTTTTACTTCAAGCACTGAAAACAGACAAAAGGAAATGTTTTTTCTTATGTTACAAATGTTGATTTGGCCCTGAATTCACCTGATTCAGAAACCATGCAGATCTGTCAATCAGCTGGGTAGCTTCCACAATCTCCAAGCTGGTCCTTGCCGTATACACTTTCCTTGCTTCTGTCTTCTTCTTTCACTTTTTGGTTATTTGTATATTTCATAACGTAATGTCATTATGTACATACAAATAATATCTTATATGCATGCAAATGACAAAATCAATCATTCAATATAAGAATAATAACGAATTAAAAAAAAGGAAATCAACAAAAATATATGTTATTTTCATAAAAATATTTCCTTACGTCGCGTATACAAAATTACATTTTCTTTGCAAATAATATTGTCATAATGATCTTAAAAGAAAACATAACATTAAACGTTACAGAATAAAAAGTACTTATCCCTCTACA